GGCTATTTGGAGCCCCAGGGAATGGAGCCTATAACGGGATATCGCTACTGATTATTCCGACCTTTGCATTCTCGACGGACCTGTGACCACAAAGCCTGGATCCTAAATTGAGTGCCAAAACACAACCNNCCCCCCCCCCCCCCCCCGCACAGTGGGTTCTGAACCCTCGAACAGAAAGCATCAAAGGGTGAGGGCCAGAATCTAGAATTCACGACCAAGAACTCGGTGTTTAGGAACCCCGAAGACAAATCTAAGCCGTCTGGCGGTTAGTGTCGTCGTCCCGCTGGTATCAGAAGCCTGACAGGAGCGAGGGGCTGTCATGAGCTATGGATTCGGTGCCACTTAACGGGTCATACCCTACCCCTGTTGTTTTATATCGCGCATTTCTATAAAGCTCGGTACGCCTAACTAGGCCTCTAGGTAAGGAGGGGTTTGGGGTCATCGAGAACCTGTCTGGATGTTGAAAAACTACATCACCGCATCTTCTGACCTCAGACTGAAGAAGTTGGTCTACTTCGGACTTAGGAGTGTCAGGGTGTAGGGACATGCTTGAATTCCCTACACCGCGGGCCCTTTCCACTTCGTCTGCGGACCAGTAGGAGGGCTGTCACGGCTTGCGGATGTCGCTTCGAGGGCTTTGGTGGTGAAAGGGGTGTAATAAGGTGCACAGATGAGCGGGTGCAGTGCTCCCAGACATGACAGACATTTAGGCCTCTGAATGGTAAGGACTCATTTGGGTGTCGAGTCTTTCGCTGAATTCAGCTCGCATACGGTAGGTAGTATCATGACAAACACTACGCTACACCTCGAAGACTTGTCCCTCAGAGAAAAGTACGGATCACTTGTTTGAGGATATGATTCTCTGTTGCTGACACAGACTCGACAAACTGTCACACTTGTCGAGACTTCAGCTGCTTTATTTTGTGCCAGTACGCCCGAATACACAAACCCTAAACTCTTGAGACCCCAGACCATAAAGACCCCAAAGCATAAACCGTCAACCCTCAACGCCAAACCCAAGACTAAACCCAGAACTCCTAACCCTAAACCCTACGCCGTGAACGGCAAACCCTTGCACACCAAGAGGTTGCCTGGCGATTGCTCTTCCGAAGAACGCGCTGGCGTCCTTTCGCCGAGAAAGCATGGATTTCAGGCCGGGAAAATTCCGATCCCTAAGGGTCCATGTGCCCAAACAGTATAGACTTTGGCCTTAAAGTAGTCCCTATATGGGTACTTTGGGGCCAAAGTATATACTATTTGGTGACATTCTGATAGGATTAGTTCCCAGAAAATAAGCGAGCTGTTATATATTGCAGGGTATGGGTCTTTAAGGTTCCGGGTTTAGGGTTGTAGGGCTTGGGATTTCTGGGATTTAGAGCTTCATGTTGTTTTTAGTGTTTAGGGTTTAGGGGGTGTTTGGAAGAACCAGGACTGGTAGTACTTCGTACAATTCTACAGTCAGGCAATAGAGGTCCATGTTCCTGCGCTGCATGAGTTTCCCATTCCTATCCACCACTCCGGCTTGAACGCAAGGCGCGTGGGTAGTTCTCCAAAGTAGCCTCTCAATCAGACTCGTTCTTCCAAGATTGCTTCGATTTGGGGGGAATGAACTTCCAAAACCTACCCGGCCAGAGCAAACACTTTCCACGAACGGCCCGATCGACCGCACCGACACCTTTGAAGTACTGTGTTCTGGAACCTCTGTCATATTTGGAGCCTGTCCTTATCCGCCAAAGATAGGCTCCCTTTGCTTAAGTCGCCTTCTGTGGGGAAGTCTGGGAACCTCCAGGCTTGAGAATCTGCACAGACTTTCCTCAAGCGTTTTGTCCAACCCTTCCGAAAAGAGGGTTTAAGGTATACCCTAAGGGTCCATGTACCCAAATAGTATATACCCTGGCCCCAAAGTACCCCAAAAGTATATACTTAAAGGCCAAAGTATATACTATTTGGGTACATGGATCCTTAGGGTTTAGGGAGGTTCTGTTTGATGTTGCGCTGTTGGGTTTGTATGGTGCTGCAGTGGGACCTGATATGAGATTAGTGTAGGGCTTGGCCCGTGTTGCTATGGCCATGGTGTTACAGTATGTGGAAATACAGGGCTATCATAATGTCACTTTTGGGTGATGAAAGAAGCATTGGGGATTCTGGGCAGGGGAGGGGGCAAAACTAGAAACGAGGCGACGAGCAAACAAACCTGCACCCCAAAGTCAAACCACAAAAATACCCAAACGTCATAACATAGACGCCTGAACAGCCTGAAGAGTTAAGATAACTCCTTAAGGTTCCTGTGTGTAGTTTTGCTATAGCACACCTCAGACTTTCCTGCACTTATTCAGGTCGCTACAGTACCCAGACTTGAAACAAGCATGAGGTTCGATGGTGATGGCAGTGCTGGCGATAACGAATAGTAGCAACACTGCTAACCAATAGCCTACAGCATAGCCGCATGCCAGCTTCATAATCAACACCTACACGTCAAAAACATATGTCTAACCGGTGGCCACAATCCTAGACCATAAACCCTGAAGCCTAAACCTCAAACCCCGAAACCCTATGATTCAACCCCTAAGCGCAACCCTGAACCCTAGACTCTAAGCCCTGAAAGTCCTAAAATCTAAACCCTGAAAGCCCGAAACCCTAAAACCCTAAACCCCAAACCCTAAACCCTAAAACCCTAAACCCCAAATCCTAAACCCCGAAACCCTAAACCCCAAAGCCCTAAACACTAAAACCCAAAACCCAAAAACCCTGAACCCTAAAACCCAAAGCCCTAAACCCCAAAGCCCTAAACCCTAAACCCTGAAAGCCCGAATCATCATGCGCTGGTTCCTGGTACCACTAAGCCTGGGCCAAGGCCCCGAAACTACCCTAACCCCCCTTAAACTTAAACCCTAAACCCAATCCTAAGCCTTAACCCTATATAGGTTTAGGGTTCAGGTCTTAAGGTAAACCCTGATCCCCCCTTAAACTTAAACCCTTAACCCAAATCTAAGACTTAAACCCTATATAAGTCTAGGGTGTAGGTTTAAGGCAAACCCTAAACCCAAACCTAAGCCTTACACCCTATATAAGTTTAGGGTTTTAGGTTTAAGGTAAACCCCTAACCTAAACCTAAGCCTTAAACCCTATTGGGGTTTAGGTTTAAGGCAAACCTTAAACCCAAACCTAAGCCTTAAACCCTATATAAGTTTAGGGTTTTAGGTTTAGGGTAAACCCTTAACCTAAACCTAAGCCTTAAACCCTATGTAAGTTTAGGGTTAAGGGTTTTGAAGTAAACCCTGAACCCAATCCTAAGCCTCAATCTTAACCCTGTAAACCCTAAACCCTAAACCCTTATATAGGTTTAGGGTTTAGGTTTAAGGGAAACCCTAAACCTACTTTTTTGTAGGGTCCCTATAAATCCCATATTAGGGTTTATAATAAGACCTGGGTTTTGGGCTCTTAAGGTAGGTTTAAGGTAAACCCTAAACCTACATCCTCACCCTGGGTCCTCGGATGTTGGCCAGGCCAGCACAGAATCCCACCGAACCAGCAGCCAGAATAAGCCTCTCGAGCTTTGGGCTTAGGGTTTAGGGTTTAAGGTTTAGGGTTTAGGGTTTAGGGTTTAGGGTTTGGGTTTAGGGTTAGGGTTTAGGGTTTAGAGTTTCGGGGTTTAAATGGGTGTTAGCTTTGGGGTTCGGTGTTTACGGGTTCAGTGTTTATGGGTTCGGGGTTTCGTCTTCCCGGATTTGGAGATGATGGCTTGGGCGGGGGGAGCTTGCAGCTTAGAGCCTGCGAGTTGGAACTGACTACGGGTTCCGAGTTTAGGGTAACTTCCACTTGGTCCCAAAACGTCAGAATGTACGATTTCCCCGTAGTTTGGGCAGGTCCACAGGAACGGAATGCATGGCTTTACATGTAGAGGCCTTCATGGAATGTAGACTTGTGCTCGGCTGTTCACTTTATTGTGGCCCATTCAAGGGTATACTAGCTTAGTAGCTTCTGTGGAGTCCCAACAAGAGTTGTTGTCGGCTCGCCTGCAAAGGCTCGTGCAGGTCGGGTGCGGAGTTTAGGGTTCATGGTGTTGGGCACATACACCTGATGGCATGTCACGGGTATACTACATGCTTGAATGCGAGCGGCTATGTTCCGTTGCAGGTGGCAGCTGTACCTACTCTGCAGGAATGTACTTCAGTTCGCCGATTCTTGCTGTTTTCATACACCACAGCAGATAAACACAATCATGAAGGCTCTGTATATGCCAGCTTCAGTACGACGACTTCCGTGCCATGCAGCAACATTTCAAGCTTCATGTTCTTCTATTCCGAAACCGCGGGCGTTTGCAGCTGAACCTGAATCCCTGCAGCCGAGTAAACCTGCGGGACGCTAAACCGCGAGCCCCTGATGTGCTATATTTACAGTCTTCCGAAGCTCCCTTGTGCTGGAGCCCTTACTGCTGTACGCCGACACTCACTCTGAAAGCATGCTCAGTGTTGCCGTCGTTCTGGGCTGCGCCCCCAAAACGGTGTTTCCTAAACCTGAACCGTGAAGTGCCACGGATAGTGGCAGTGATTTGCTGCACGAAGCGTAAGGGCCTCGCGCGCCTAAATCATCGTGCAGAAATTACCGTGCTTGAACCTACCTGTGTAGAGTCCAAACAGGGAACAAGGCACATCGGCATCGTCCGCTTCTGTTTTCGTTGTTTTTCTCCGTTCTGCATTCCGTTTGGCCGAGGCCTTCCAGTGTTGCGTCCATTCCGCTTTTGCTTTTCCTAAGGGTCCATGTACTCATCTAGGATATACAATGGCCCCAAAGTACCTATAAAGGGACTACTTTAAGGCCAAAGTATCTCTATTTGGGTACATGGACTCTTAGGGTTTTCCAGTTCCACGGAAGTTCCCAAACGAATGGAAACCAGAACAGAAGAGTGACACGCAAAAGAAGATCGAACGGAACCACGAACGGATAGACGCAAACAAGACCTTTTCCGCAAACATCGCTGCATTACCACTTCACTTCACAAACCCAAGCACAGCAATGTAGTGGCCTAGATAACGTAGAAGCCTTGCTGAGTCTATCCGAAGCTCACAAACTTGGGTTTGGGGTTTGGGGACTTCAACGAAACCCGAGGACCAAAGCCTAAACCTCAATCCACAGATCTCTACCCAAGTGAGACAAAGACTAGGGTTTTAGGGTGCCAAGTTACGATTTGGGCACTTGGACCCCGAGGTTCGCGCATAGCAGTGCAAGATGTCACTCGGACTATCCAGAAGCACCATGACTTGAGGGTTTAGGGTGTAGGGTTCTGGTACTTATAAGACCCCTAAACTAAACCCTAAACC